TGGCTGGGCCTGATCACCTGGTTGTCCTGTATGCACTGCATGATGGCACTCAAGATGATCTGGTCTATAACCTTTTCTGGCACCAGTCAACTGGGACCTCCCTGGTTAGCTAGCACAGCTGATAAGCGATGGAAGTCCCCCTTGGTACTTTTGGGTGGATGCCTTCTGGTTCCCTTGTGTGTGTTTAAGGTGTAGAGGGTCACTGACCATTTCCCCTTGGATTATGGGGCCTTCATTCTCCGCCCCATTCCTGTCTGCCAACCTAAGGGGCCAGGTACCCAGAAAACAACTAGTCTTATTATTAAAGACTAGTGCAAAGAAGGTATTAAGTATTTCAGCCTTTTCCTTATCCTATGTCACTGTGTTTCCACCTGCATCCAGTGAAGGATGGAGATTCTCCTTAGTCCTCCTTTTGTTGCTAATATGTTTATAGAAACATTTCTATTGTATTTTATGGCAGTAAGCACATTCTAATTAGGCTTTGTAGAACTAGTTTTCCCCCTGCATAACCTCACAACATCTTTGTAGCCCTCCTTTTCTTTCTTCCAGAGGTCACAAACTCTGTTTTTAACCCTGAGTTCCAGCCGAAGGCCTCTGTTCAGCCAGGCTGGTCTTCTTCCTTCTGGCTTATCTTTTGGCACATGGGAATGCCTGCTCTTGTGCTTTTAAGAATTCCTTCTTGAAGAATGGCCAGCCTTTCTGTACCACTTTGCCCTTCAAGACTGCCTACCAGGGGACTCTGTCAGCCAGTCTCCTGAACAGAACAAAGTCTGCCCTCTGGAAGTCCCAGAGCAGCAGTTCTGCTGTCCCCACTTCTTACTTCTCCAAGAACTAAACACAAACCATTTCATGAGTGCTATGCCCAAGACAGCCTCCAACCACCACATCACCCAAGTACACTTCTGTTTGTGAACAGCAGGTCCAGTGGGGCACCAAGTTACTTGCTGAAGGAAATGGTACAGGTAGTACTTTTTCCTCAGCATAGGCAGTAAGAGTGCTATCCTTATCCTCAAGAGTTAAAATTTTTCTGCAAAAATAATAGTGCAACCAGCATGAAGCATAGGACAATCAGGTGTCCTAGGGAGACAGGAGAATTTATACCACCTTTCTGAAGAAACTTCTCTCATGTAATTTTATTTCTCCTACCATCTATCTAGGTTAAATGAAAAGTATTCTCTGGCATATCTGATGACATATAGAAAAGTTTCAGAAAATACAATTAGATGTGCAAAGTTTAAAAACTCAGTGCTGTGTGTGTTTGTGTGTGTGCATGTTTTAGCTGCTGTTCAGTAAGGGAAAAATATTCACCTGTGCTGATATGCTGGACCCCCAGGCACATCACCCTGACCTGACATTTGATGTCTCTAAGTTCTTAGGAAACTGGTGACGGTAAGCAGTAAGGCTGGATAAAGGGGAGTGGTTCTGTTGAACAAAATGTTGAGCACAAACCTGAGAGAATCTACAGAAGGGGAACCTCTAGTTATATTTCTCTAGACTCTGTTGCTTCAGCCCCTTGCTACCTTAATGGTAAAATTTACTATTGTGATAGTAAAATGACTGCTACTGCGGAACCCAGGACAATCCTGATTTATCTAGAAATTGCCAGGTCCATTTAATCTGTTCATATCTGGCAAATGCCACTTTCTTCTACCTGGATGAAATTAAATAATCTTGAATCAAGCAATATTTAAAAGCATTCATAGTTGCGTAAGGGAGAAGTGTTCTTTCATGTGATGTTTCGTTCAGGAATTAAGGCTTGCTTCTTTTAGAGAAGCACAGCATGTTTTCTGTCTTTAAGAAGGGGGAGGGGGCAAAAAGCCACATACCAATTCCCTCTTCAACTCACCATAGAAACTTAAACGCATGAAAGGATTCACTGAAGTTGATAGAAATACACCTGTAGAATTCAGTGATCACTGGATTGGGTTGAAAGCCAGTTGCGTTAGTAAGTCGCTTTGTGTTCAAGCTAAGAGTCTTCAAGAACTTCAGAGACTAATTACTCTATGTGGCAAGGTCCTTAGCTTTTGCAAGCTTTACCAATGCTTTTGGAAAAAATGACCAAGTGCCCCAAGTTTACAGACACCTCTCATTTCAGTTTTTGAGCTTGTGGTTATAGGGGTACAGTTAATGCCCTCTGTTTACATGTCTCTCGCAGCTTTTAAGTATGAAGCCAGTGTAATGCCAGCATGGTTTTTTTTGTGTGTGTAAAAATACTGTGGAGTATTCATTCATTCCTCCACATTAATAAGTAGAGTATTCTTAGTCTTGGGTTTTCAGATCCCAATAGGTGATGCTTTAAAAATTAACTACTCAAAGCCAAACTTACTGTGAACCTGAGTCTGTTTTGTATCCTGGATCTTAACATTGTAGCTGATTTTTGACATTTCCTTGCAAAGACAGAGGTGGTTAAGGATGTTATCTGCCTCCAGAAATAAGTCTATCCTCACCTCTGCAAGTCCAGAACACTTGATAGGTTTTGTTCAACTTGCTAAAAATTTAATCTTTGCCGGAGAAAGTACACTGAATATTTCAGCCTGAAGACTGAAAATGAGCATAAAAGATGGGAATTCTTTTGCTATCTTAACTATAGCAATGTGACTATAGAGAAACTCATGCAAAAGAATATCTTGTCAGAATCAGTGTTTGTTACTTGAGGATACAAGCCTGCAAATACCTCTGCTCATGTGTTACTCATGTGAGTAGCCCTGCTGAAATGCCATGTGGCACTGTGAAGATAAGCCTGAGAGCTATCTGTACCATTTTACACAACACGTCTCTTATAGAGCTGTGACACTTCATCGTTCCCTGCACACCTCTTCTGACTGCTTCCATCTCTCCCTCCTGTTTCACAGATCTGCTTTTACTATGCACGTGGAAGCTGGGCATTCAGCAGTTCCTGAGGAAGGACCCAAAGACCTTCGCTGTCCTCTTTGCCTATATCACACCAAATACAAACGCAACATGATTGATCATATAGTACTGCACAGAGGTAACAATATCTCCGTATGTGTTTGTATCTGATGAAGGGAGTGCTGAACAACACCCTTGTCTTTCAGACTGGTTTCATTAAATTTTCCTCTTTCTGTACACAAGGACAAGTATGTTGAATAAGTCATCAGCCCTTGAGTATCTTTAGTTTCATTTCTAAATGATGCGTCTTTTTTATTTACTGTAAAATTCAGAGTTAGCCAGTGCTGAAATAGTGCAACTTTAAAATAGTTTTTAAGCTTTTTCTCTAGAGAAGTTAACAGTCATCAAACACCTGTTTAGCAAAAGTTGCCCAAAGTTGCAGCTCTGTTTTAGGCCAGAGTTGTTATTGTAAAGGCCTTGCTGTCACAAACTCTGTGACAATGTGTATCACTAACCATAGAGGCCCCAAAAGATCCCTTGATTACTTGCTTGAATTTTTTCTTTTCAGCAATCTTAGGATCAAAACAAGAATTATAATATTTTTGGGTTTCTTTAAGACCCCTTTTCTATCTTTACCTCTCCCTTCTTTTTTTTAAAGGCAGCTAGAAGTAGGATTAAGGATTTCTATTAACTGCAGGCTTGCTAGCTTAGAAGAGACAGCTGTTTGGGCTCTCTGGGCTGGGATTCCTGCCCATAGCTATCACACTTGATGCTTGTAGATGGTCTGTTGGCTGCCGAAATCCAAACCCATGTGTTGGGATGGCACTCTGCCTACTTGCAGGTTGGGCCGAGTTTCACAGTAGGGTATTGGTGGTGAGCAAACAGAAGTTTTGCATGCCATCTTTTTCCTGGAGGAGATCCTGGTGTGACAAGCGTTATCATAATTCCTTGTAACATACCACTTTCCAATGCTGGTTACTTAAAGTCCTTCATGTACCAAAGTAGTGAGGCTGGCAGAGATCACTTAAGTTTCTATCTGCTAGCAGGGTTATTCTGAGGGAACATCTGGGAAAAATGGCCTGTCAGTGATTCAGAAAGCACATTACAAAGCTGCCTTATTTGGTTGTAAGAGTTTGGCAGATGCTTTAGCTTTTGCTTCGTGTCTTTGAAGGTGTTGCTGTGTCAATTTTGCCCAGCTTCAGGCTAATACTCCAGAGTTAGCTCACTTTAGAGGAGTGGAGGATTTAGTTAACCCCTGAGCAGGGGACCATGCAGTTCCACGTGCTGCCGAGGCATGCTCTCTTTTGTGGCTGTGCCAGGGCTCCTGTGGATACTGACAGACCTTTGAAATACATATAGACAGGCTGAGGGAGAACTGGATGGGTTTAGTTTGGGTCTTTTCCATCATGCCTAGACCTGACTCTGGAAATGTCCAGTTGCAGAAGTGGAAGAGCACTTCGTGAGTTCAGGCAACTGTACTGCCTGTACAGAAGTGTTTCTGACCAATTGCAAGGAGATGGTTACCTCCTAGGTAAGTGAAACTGTGGACCTGTTCTTTTATAGAGCTGTTGAATCAGTTGCACAAAAAAATTCTTAAGCCTTTGTGCTCCTGAAACAAAGCTGTTAGCAAAGGACATAATGGAGAGTTAAAACCGAGTAAAAACTTTTTTAATATAAAGCTGATAATCTCAAAGGTAACTGCAGGAAGGGCAAGGATTTTCTCTGGCATCAAGCATCCAGGTAATAAAGGAAATAGGGTCTATCCTTGGAGTCCTTTGTGGTGCATATATCCAGCTAAAAACCCCTCTACTGTTGTGTTTAATTATGTGGCAGCTGAAGCAGACAATTTTGGCAAGATTTAACATACACTGAAAGAAACACTGTGGGATGGTGAATGTAGTCTGAGGTAGCCTGCCTCTTTTATAGCCGTTTCACTGGTAAAACAAGGGCATAGCCCTGAGCTGTGGTCCAGGAACATTAGTTTTGAGATACATGGAGTGGTGCAGTGTGTAAAATGAAAAGTGAATTATTTTATCCATTCATAGTTAATGTTCCTTCCGTGTAAAAAGACATGTTTACAGATACATGACTCTTACATTACTTCCAAGTTTTTGCACCCCTAACCCTCGGTAAAACAGCATACACTTGAATGGAGAGTATATTTCCCTCTTAATAAGTGGCTACAGAAGCCACCTTCAGATTAGAATTGATGTCTATGTTTACTTTGCTTTTCTTGTGTTATTGTGCTGCCTTTGATTTGGTGAATGTGTGTGATTGTGAGATAATAGGTTTTGCTAATGTGAATTAAGGAATGTTGCATTACTCCAGACTGGTAGATAAAAAGGTTTATATCATCTCATGTTTTAGGTTTTTTAATGAGGGCCAGGTGGTAGAGGAAAAGTGAATTTTCAGATACATTAATTAGTATTTCTCTTTTTGAAAACTTCACTTGACTTTTTCACTTTTGAAACCAGCTGTGTCACTTATTTCAGTGAGTTCAAAAGTGCACAGCTGCAAAAATCTTGTAAAAAGTCTCCTTATGACCTCAGAATCATAGCCTTAAATTCTGTTGTCTCTTAGACCCTATTCTCCCTTCCCCTTTTACCACCCTGAGCAGCCACAACTTGGTGTCTTTATGGCTAAAAAAAAAGATAGTGTTGGTGGATGACACAA